ATGCAGAAGGCAAGACCAGTGACATGGAACAGGGACGAGAAAAGCCTGGTTAAAGAAACGCCTAAGTAGAGCTGGCAGTTTCTGCATGTGGAATACAGGAAAACAAGAGTGGGGCCAGACAGTGGAAGCTAGAAGTGTAATTGGTCTTTAGCCAGGCTTGAGAGTTTGGGATAGGTAGTGAGGAGCCACAGATGGTGACATCAGAAGTGAGGGTAGGGGGATGTACTATGATGAAGGCACCTTTGCATTGCGTGCTGCTTTGTCTTCACTACATGCATATCCTTGGTAAAGAGCATTGCTCCACAGGAATGATGTAGATTTAAGGGTGTTGAGCTTGCCAAGGCTCTAGGAGACACCAGCTTTAAAATGCAGATGTATTTTTTAAGGTAGGGGAGATTATTATGTTAATTATATACCTGGCATATACAATGGGGTGGTGATCCTGGATGGGAGATTAGTAGCTGTATGCTTGTGACCAGGAGGGCAGGGTTATTAAAAAAAAAACTTGGGAAGCCTTTCAGAGACAGTGGCTTCAAAGAACTAAGATATGCTGGTGTGAAGACCTGGGTATTCAGGCCACCAGATAAAAACAAATTCAGGGGAGGGAAAGCAAAAGGGAACCTAGGATATACAGAGAATGGAGGGAAATTGATCTTAGTGAAACTGAGTAAAGATTTGAAACACCATATACCAGAAATGATTTTCTATTGGCAGAGCTCAAAGCTTTAGCTGCATTGTCTGTGAATAGAAAAACTTTGACTTGAAACCAAGGTTGTTAGGCAGCAGATAGGAAGAAGACATTTTTCAGGGGCCTGGAAGGTTGAGAAAACAAGTGGTTGTTTAATTCTTTGAACCCATGCTGGGTTAACCGAGTAATGTGAGAGCACATATTCTTAATTTACCTACTTGATATTTGTACCCCCCAAATTTCTCACCCTAGAACAAGCTCAGCAGACCATGGTTCATGCTACCATCATATCTCCCCTAGATTATTACTGTAGCTTCTCTTCCTGCATCTGCTTTTCCCAATGGTCTATTGTCACAGCAGCCAGTTATGTTTTTATATTAAAATTGAATAAAATTTTATCACCCCTCTGCTCAAAACCTCCTCCTCATCTCTTAGAGTATGAGGCAGAGCCCTTACGATGGCTTTTCATGGTCTGTTCCTAACTTGACTTCATCTGTTCCTGTCCTGTTTGCTTCCTCTATTCTAACCACATTGGTCAACTTACTGTCCCTTGAAAAATGCAGGCATGCTTCTACCTCCAAGAACTCAGTGTTCCCTTTGCATGGAACAGTCTTTCTCCAGATAGTCATGTGACTTGCTTCTCACTTCCTTCAGGTCTCTGCTCAAATAACGGTTTGTCAACAAGGCTTTCCTTGACTACCCCACATAAAATAGAGACCTTTCTTCTCCCTTACTGCCTATCTCCTTTACCTTTATTTTTCTATATAGCATTTATCACTACTTGACATATAATTATTGTCTGTTTCCTATGGCCCCCTTTCCTCATCCTGTCCCCTTCTTACCCCCACACAGAGGAGAGAGAGTGGTGTAGTGATTGAGACTATAAATTCTAGAGTTAGCTTTGCTGGGTTTGAATTGCAGCCTCACCACTTACTACCTGTGAAGCACTGCATGAATGACTTAAACTCTTTGTGCCTCAGTTTTCTCATCTGCAATATGGGGGTAATAATAGTACCTTACTCATAGTTGCTTTGAGGATTGAGTTAATATATGTAAAGCGTCCAAAACAGTGTCTGGTAAATTAAAAGCACTATAAATGTCAGCTATTATTATATTGCTATAAAAATGTAAATTCTTTGAGATGAGAAAATTTTTTTGTTTGTAGCCTAGAACAGTACCTGGAATGTGGTAGGCTCTGAGTAAATATTTGCTCGATGAATGAGTGGAATATGAAAAGTTCTGACAGAAAAAGATAATGTGGTCAGAGTGGTGGTGAGTTGGGGGAAAACATGAACTCAGGGATCCTATCTTTTGAGTAAAAACCCTCTCCATTCTTCCTAGGGTGGGCTATAGAAGTCAAGCAAGCCAAAGATGTTAGAAATTTGTGAGAGGATAATGTTCACAGGTTATCCAGAAGGATGCTGTCCCACACCAATGTGGGTTTTTTTGTCTTTGATAATTACAACCAATAATGTCAATATGAATTTAACTTTTCTTCTAGTTGTAGTATGATCAGTGTTCACTTATAATTTAAATAATCTACCCTTGGTTTTTAAAATTTTGCGATGTATGCCAATACTTAAGAATAGTGTAGGGTTATTTTTACAGTGAATTACAATAATTTTACTTAAAATTAAAACAAAAACATTTTAAAACTATAGGTCATGATCCCTTGGTGGGTCATGAAATCTATGTAGTGGGCTATGACCAGGGTTTTTTGTTTTTTCATTTTATGAAATAGGATTTAAAAAATAAGAGTATATATCATATAACGTAAGGGTACCTAGTATTTTGTAAAAAAAATTATTTGTATATGTGTATCTCACACATGCACAAACGTATTCATAAGCACATGTATGTGTGTTCTGGTCACAATATACAATGTTTCTTACTGAGGGTCCTGGTCAAATAAGTTTGAAAGCCTCTGCCCAAAAATGGTGCTTGGCAGCTCATGCAGCTCAATATCAAAAAAAACAAACGACCCAATCCAAAAATGGGCAGAAGACCTAAACAGACATTTCTCCAAAGGAGACATACAGATTGCCAACAAACACATGAAAGGATGCTCAATATCACTAATCATTAGAGAAATGCAAATCAAAACTACAGTGAGGGGGCTTCCCTGGTGGCGCAGTGGTTGGGAGTCCGTCTGCCGAAGCAGGGGACACGGGTTCGTGCCCCGGTCCGGGAAGATCCCACATGCCGCGGAGCGGCTGGGCCCGTGAGCCATGGCCACTGAGCCTGCGCGTCCGGAGCCTATGCTCCGCAACGGGAGAGGCGACAACAGTGAGAGACCCGCGTACCGCAAAACAACAACAACAACAAAAAACTACAATGAGGTATCACCTCACACCGGTCAGAATGGCCATCATCAAAAAATCTACAAACAAGAAATGCTGGAGAGGGTGTGGAGAAAAGGGAACCCTCATACACTATTGGTGGCAATGTAAATTGATACAGCCACTATGGAGAAGAGTATGGAGGTTCCTTAAAAAACTAAAAATAGAACTACCATATGACTCAGCAATCCCACTACTGGGCATATACCCTGAGAAAACCATAATTCAAAAAGAGTCATGTACCGCAATGTTCACGGCAGTGCTATTTACAATAGCCAGGATGTGGAGGCAACCTAAGTGTCCATCGACAGATGAATTGATAAAGAAGATGTGGCACATATATACAATGGAATATTACTCAGCCATAAAAAGAAACAAAGTTGAATTATTTGTAGTAGGGTGGATGGACCTAGAGTCTGTCATACAGAGTGAAGTAAGTCAGAAAGAGAAAATCATATGCTAACACATATATATGGAATCTAAAAAAAAAATGGTTCTGATGAACCTAGGGTCAGAACAGGAATAACACATGCAGACATAGAGAATGGACTTGAGGACAAGGGGCTAAGCTGGGACGAAGTGAGAGAGTAGCATTGACATATATACACTACCAAAAGTAAAATAGATAGCTAGTGGGAAGCAGCTACATAGCACAGGGAGATCAGCTTGGTGCTTTATGACCACCTAGAGGGGTGGGATAGGGAGGGTGGGAGGGAGACGCAAGAGGGAGGGGATATGGGGATATACGTATGCATATAGCTGATTCACTTTGTTATACAGCAGAAACTAACACAACATTGTAAAGCAATTATACTCCAATAAAGATGTTTAAAAATAAATAAAGTATGTACTAGAAAAAAAATGGTGCTTGGAAATCATTAGGTCACATAATTATTTTTCTTTCAGAAAATTGCCTTCATTAATTACTATCCTGATTAAGATTTAAGTGGTCATAGACGTTTGTCTCTTTATTAGCGCTTATTTTATTTTACATACGATTGCCCACTCTCCATCCTCAAGGAACTTCAAAGAGAAACAATTTCCAAGAAATTGAAGAGCAGGAAAGAGCTAAAGTTCTGTGTTTTAAAAATATTAGAACTAATATTTCCTTCATTTTAATATCTATGGACCAAGACCACTCCAGTTGACTACTTCCTGATTCTTTCACCTTAGTGTTTAGATCACTAGGATGTTCATTTAATCTGTCAATAAAATTTATAAGAAAAATAACAATAGTGGTAATTTATAATACTTTCGAGTTTACCAGACTGCCAGCTTCTTTGTGCTCTTTATCTGTGATCTTATTTTATTTCTATATCAACCTAGAAAGGTAGACAAGGTTGGCTTTAGGATCCCTATTTTACAGATTGAGTAGACTAAGGCTCAAAAGATGAAGCCCAAGACTGTGCAGGGAGTACCTGGAAGATCAGTCTCAATCCCAGATCTTCCCCACTCCAAGCATACATCTCTTTCCTCCACACCTCACCTGATGTGAAGGACTCTGCTTCTCTTCCCCAAGCACATTTTTTTGCTCCTCATTGTGTCTTTTTATCTTCTTTACTTTCCCTTCCACCTCCTTTTCCTTTCCTTTCTCTCTTTGATTCTTAGTGTCTTCTGTGACCACTTGGGCCCAAAGTGTTTGTTTACCCCCATTCAACTAAAAACTATGAGTCCAGTATCTTGGCATTCAAATGGAAACCCAGTACATCCAAGCTGATTTATTTGAGCTGATTCATTCAGGATGATCAAAATGGTCCCTTCCTTCAATAAAACTCGGGGCGGGGGCGGTGTTGTTTTGGTTTTGTTTGCCTTCCTATATTCATCAGTATTTGAATAGTCCTTATTAATCATGCATTTATATTCTTCATTAGACGAAGTTACTGATTTTAGTATAAATACTCCCAGTGCCTACCAGCAGACAAGATTTTCTACATTTTAATACTTTTTTTTCCTGCAAATTATTTTTTAGATTTTGGGATTTCCAGAAGAAAAGATCAAGGGGGAATTATCAAGAATAGATTCATTTTCTGAATAGTTAAACCTCAAATGACCACAGCCTTGGCCCTTCAGACTCCAGAGATGCAGGAGGGACTTATAGCAGTGAAGGTAAAAGAGGAAGAGGGAGACCATGCCTATGGGCAAGAATCTGGCCTGTCAAGAGATAACCCTCACACCAGAGAGATCTTTCGTAGACGCTTCAGGCAATTCTGCTACCAGGAGACACCTGGGCCCCGAGAGGCTCTTCGAAGACTCCGAGAACTCTGCCATCAGTGGCTGAGACCAGAGATGCACACCAAGGAGCAGATCCTGGAGCTGCTGGTGCTGGAGCAGTTCCTGACCATCCTGCCCGAGGAGCTCCAGGCCTGGATGAGAAAGCACCGCCCAGTGAGTGGAGAGGAGGCGGTAACTGTGCTGGAGGATTTGGAGAGAGAGCTGGATGAACCAGGAGAGCAGGTGGGAAGATGGGAGAACAGGGGTTTGTACTTGTATGATCAAGCATGGGGTTTCAGTGCAGTAAGAGGAGGAGGAGGAAAAGATGGATTTCTTTATGCCTAACTTGATCTGTAATAGGCTCGTAATCTCTCTGCCTTTTTTTCTTTGCCAGTTTGTTGAGCCTTCTTTTCCTAATCACTGGTCTTGAGAAGGCCTTGCAATGTCTTCTCTTATATTTCATTCCTAACTGTCCTTGATTTTTACCAGGTCCCAGTCCATGATCATGAACAGGAAGAGCTTGTGAAGGAGAAAGCAACTCTAGGAGCAGCCCAGGAGTCGTCTGGTGGCCAGCTCCAAACCTTGGAAGAGCAGCCTCAGTGGAACTTGCGAGGCATGTGCCCGGTTCAGGAGATTGGTGAGGATTAGAATTTCCTCAGGAAGCCTAACTCATTCCCTGAATGGTCATTGATTCAGCACATTTACTTAGTGTCTGCTGTGTGCCAGGCACTGAGCTGGGTACGGGGGAAGCAGTGATGAGGGAGGTAGATGTGGTTCCTGCCCTCAGGAAGTTTACAGTCTGGTGGGAGACGCAGACAGTAAGCAAGCGGTTACGATACACGGCATCTTCTCCTGAAGTCCTGGTATAATTGTTGAGAGTGGGAAAGTAAACAGAAAATGTGTTGCTTGTCCCTTTCCACCCACTCTCCTGACCAGTTTTTTTCTTTCTTCTTTGGAAACATAACATTCATGCCATCCATTTACTATTTCAGATGATGAGGCTGGGACTTGGAATGTGGAGTTAGCCCCAGAGAGGGATCTGTCTAAAGAAACGAAATCTCATGTGGAAGTACCTGAAAAATTGAATGGTAATATTATTCCAGTGCCTGAGTGTGGAGAGACCTGTGACCACGAAGGCAGATGGGAAAGGCAACGGGTAAGCTCTTCAGTGGAGAGACCCTATATCTGTGGTGAATGTGGGAAAAGCTTCACCCAGAATTCCATCCTCATCGAGCACCAGAGAACGCACACGGGCGAGAAGCCCTATGAGTGTGATGAATGTGGGCGGGCCTTCAGCCAGCGGTCAGGCCTCTTCCAGCACCAGAGGCTCCACACTGGGGAGAAGCGCTACCAGTGCAGCGTTTGTGGTAAAGCCTTCAGCCAGAACGCTGGGCTTTTCCATCACCTCAGGATCCACACGGGGGAGAAACCTTACCAGTGCAGTCAGTGCAGTAAGAGCTTTAGTCGACGTTCTGTCCTCATTAAGCATCAGAGAATTCACACTGGAGAAAGACCTTATGAATGTGAGGAATGTGGCAAGAACTTCAGTTACCACTGCAACCTTGTCCAGCATCGGAAAGTCCACCCTGTGGCTGAATCCAGCTAGCTCCTTGGAACAGGTAGGGCAAAATTTCATGATGTCAGACCACTAGGCATGGTAGCAAGGGTCCTGGTTCTTACTTTGTCTCTGAGAGAACAATAAGAGATTAATCCTCTAGTATAGGAAGCTCCAAGGAAGACCAGTGAAAATGTTCTTATTTTTATGCTGAGAGATGCATAATATCTTAAATATATCTGTCGGAATCTCTTTGGTCAGTGACATCCATACTTTGCAATACTGAATATTGTGTTGACTTCATCAACATAATCTCACACACATCTGTCCCAAAAGTCTTCTACATGTACTTCAGGAAAACTCCTTCATCCTAGTTTTTAAAAACTTAAAAAAAAAAGTCTTAAAAATTATATGCAGCCTGAATACAAAATGTCAAAGGTAGTTCACTGAGTATTTAAAAATTAATTTAAAAATAATTGCAGTAAAATCTGTAATGTAAACTATTAGATTAGTTTCCATTCACATAAGATAGGATAATTTGCTTTTAACCTACAAAAGGGGGCAGATGAATCCTCCCATAAATATACAGAAGGCTTCTCCCTGTAGAGGTTTAGTAATTCAGCCTTCAGTTTAGGAACCAAGGTATTGAAGCAACCATATATTATTAGGAGCTCAATGGCTAGTCATAACAAATATTGCTCATGATTTTAAATTTTGCAAAGACCAAGACACTTAGCTAAAAATCTGATATCTCACTTCAGATATTTATTGTGAAAATATAGGCCTCATTGTATTTTTCCTGTGACTTATGAGCATTTTGGGGTTTTTCTTTATTTAAACTTTTGTTATAGAAAATTTCAAACATATACAAAAGTAGACAGAAAAGTATGATCAGTCTTGCCTGTTGATTGCTATTTATAACCTCCATGCCTCTCAGCACTACCTATTGATTATTATCAAGGTCATACATAAAAAGATTTCTTTCCCTTAACACTGACTGAGTGTTAAAAAACTTTATACTAAGGCCAGGAGACCAAAAAAATGATAACTCTATGGTGATAACAGTCTGGATTGGAATACCAAATACACACACAGGTAACTTAAGAGTAATAGAAACGCTCTAAGGGACCTTAGAGATCACTTCTGCGTGCCCTTATTTGACAGATATGGAAACAGAAGCTATAGGAAGTGACTGTGTAAGATCATACAGCTAGTTAATGGAGCTGGAACTAAAACCCTCTCTCCTAATTCCTAGTGCAATGCTCTTTCTACTAAGCCACTGGAAGCACTGTGTTGCCGTATAGAATTTAGAGCACTTATAAGGCACTGAGGTTTTGCTTTTTAGCTCAACAAACCCTCCCATCTATATGTTTCAATAAATGTACAGCCTATTTAATTTACAGTGGAGTTCCAGGAAAGATTCCTTCCACTTATCTCTCATTTGAGGCATTTTATTTTTTTTTGTAGTGAGTGATTATTTTTAACTTTAAATTTTAATTTACTTAGAAGGAGTTTTTTAAAAAAATTCTTTCTTGACCTGGTTCTAATATCGAAACAACACTGAAAAAAGGTCGCTATCTTTCCCTTATAGGTAGTCATTTACTAGTTTCTTATGTATCTTTCAGTGTTTCTTTATATAAGTACAAGAAAATATGAATATATAATCTTATTCCCTTGTTACACAGAACGATGGCATACTATTTATATTCTTCTACACCTTATTTTCATGAAACAATATAATCTTTTGAGATTTCTGCATTATAACAGAGGACTTCCTTATTCTATTTACAAGTTGACAATATCTCATTTGTTGGTGCTCCATAGTTCAACATACTCCTACAGATGAAAAATCACTACTTCAAAATGTTATATATTGTTTCATTCTTCTCCCCAGTTTAGTCCAAGTCAAACACTTTCTATTTAAAAGCTAACAACATCCACATGAGCTAGGAAACAAGGTTTGGATGACTAGAATTACACATAATGCTTCTGTGGAGAATGGAGAAGTGATAGGTGGTATTTTTCAGTTTCATGTATTTTGTTCTGTTTTATATTCTTAGACCTAACATTTGAAACTATTTGTGTCACTACTTGTGACTAATTGTAGGTATTATCAACAATCTTAGAAGAAAAAAAGTCTTAAATGTCCTCAAGAGTATATTTTATTGTCTTGAGGTTTAAATTATATCCAAGAGAAATACATAGGGATTTTAGGCTGAAGTTAAGGAAAATATAGTAGATATAAGTTTGAAATAAAATCAACTTCTCAAAAAAACTCAACTTCTCAAGTTAAATATATATTCCATATAGTGATATAGTACATATACTATTACAATCTGAGTTCATAAGTATTTTAAATGTTTCTCCAATATGCTGAAGCAGTATGTTTGGATAATTCAATTATATCAGCTCTTAAAAGGTTTAAAATATGAGCAGATTAGTATTTTAGAGGATGAATTTCTAATGGACTGAGTTTTTACACTTGCAGTTGAAGATTGGATATTTGGTTTGTTCTGTGCCTGTTTTTTTGTTTTGTTTTGTTTACAGCTTCTCAAACATTCTCAATTTTCTCAACAACTGGTAAAATGCCAAGAAACAAAATACATTATATATGCTGTAGAGACAGATGTACTGCTTAGAATGCAATGATGGTTAACACAATTAAAATGACTGACAGTTCACCAAACTAACTTTCCTTGTTTTCTGATACTAATTGTACTAATTCTCTCATGCTAATTTTTTTATCTAGGATGCACATTCCTCATTATGTGAGAAATAATATTTGTCTCAACCTATAGACAGTGGCATGTAGACTTTGACTTCTTCTGTGATTATTCCAGTCTTCCTGGCCAGAAGTCCTTAGTTGTCTCCCTTTTGCATTTCTAAATTTCCCTCACTTCTCCTCTCTTTTCCGCCCTGGCTCCTTTTATTCAGCCTATGAAGTCTCTAGTATTGATCTCATTTCAGGTGTTCCCTGGACCAGTATCCATCCCTCCCTATCCCTCTGAAAAGTTCAGTCTGAGAGAGCAGATTTTGGTTTTATGGTTGAGCAAGGTGTAAGAAATATTGATTCAAATCCGATTAAATAACCTTACTGGTTCTTGAAGGATAGCCCAGCACCCCTTTGAGCACTGTTAGGACAGTGGACACTGCATCAAAAAATGGCTAAGTATCTTGCAACCAAAACCTGCCTAGAGCTATAGATAGAGCCCTGAAGATTCTCTTTCACTGTAATTTTGAGTTGAAGGTCAGGATAACAGGAGAATCAAGTCTCTGTCCATATTTTATATTTGGAAATGACTCCTATTTTCTATATCTGACAATACTTTTCTTTTAAAAAACATAGTTATAATTTATAGTAGAAGATTGTTTTATCTTTTTTTAGTAAGACAAAAATTATCTTAGGAAATTTTAAAATAAAAATAGGTCAAAATTATTATAAAATATAAGTATTTTCTGTGGAAGAATTTTGAAATATAAAATATATATGAATATACATGTGTCATTGGTTAAATGTTGAATTAGTAATTGAGAGAAACGTAGATTCTTTGCAGAGGGAGGTGGAGGACAGAGGAAAGTGTTTTTGGCACAGGGAATAGGGTGAGGCAAGACCCCCATTTTAAGATATGCTCAAGAGCCAGGGGTTTTCCAGTTTGGGTCACGGAGTTCCTGCAAAGAAGTGCGGGAGTGGGAGATTGTAGGTGAGGGCCAGATTGAGAGAGCCTTGAACACTTTCCTAATGCATTGAGTCTTTGTTTGATAAGCAGTATAGAATCATCAAAAGTATTTTGTGTGTGTGACGGGAGCTTTTTACTATAGAATCAGAGAATATTGAGCTTTAAAAAGAAAATTTGGAGTTTCGCTCACTTCATACCTATATGAGAAAAGTGAAACCCAAGTGGTTAAGTACTTATAGTGATCTTTCTAGTTTTTAATCACATTGTTTTTTTAAAACAAAACTATGAACAAAGATCATCGTGAATTATATGTAGTTTCATGGACACTTAGACTTGGAGCCCTGAGACACATTTTAGGCATCTGCAAAAAACAAATGGGATGGAAAGAGAAAAAGGATGGACAAAATGTGAGAACATAAAAAGGAATCAGACAGAAAGCAAAATGAGACACCAAAACTCTGGCCAACAATGGTGACCAAAGAGAAGGAAAAATAAGATAGATGCAGAGACAGCATTACCAAGATAAGTGCTTCATCTTCACAGTACTTATTAGAAATTCCTCCATCTCAGTTGTTCCAAGTGTCTTAGGTACAGGAGTCTCAAGCAGTGAAAATAGTCTCACTGCCTTCGCTCCTCACTCATTTTAGTACTTTCCATAAAAAGGAGAACAGGGAGAAGAGTACAGTCTATAAATTACTCTGTGATGTTTTTAGGTCTCTCTGGACCCACATCCAGATTTCCATGCCAGCTACCTTAGCTTTATGATGAAGCCACTGTTTCTTGGTGTATACCTGCATTAGAATCACCTGGGCTGTTTGAAGTGCAGTTGCCTGGGCCCCACCCCAGACTGACTAAATCAGTGGTTAGGTTACTCAGAGGGACCCGATTATGCAAAGATTTAAAACAGTGGGGAGCAAGCCGACTTCTGCCCCTCTTGTTGGCGCTTTCCTTAGGTGGATGTTCATTATTGCTTCTGACGCTGGAAGTTAACTGACAGTTGGTACCTTAAGAGACTGCAGGAGAGGGACCCTGAAGGCTGGGACGTCAGAGGACCGGGTCCTAAGGGAACCTAGGGTTGCGAGAATCCGGTGAGAGTGGCCAGGTGTCCTCAGTGGAGTAGAAAGATATTAGCCCAGACTGAGTGGCTGCTGGACCCTAGAGGTTACAAGCCCTCGTCGATTTTCCTGCCTGAGCCATTAGGAGGAAGCCAAGCACGCGAAGGCGTGCCAGGTTGCCAGATCAACCACTGAGATTAACAGGTCCTCCAAGTTTCCTAGAGAGGCGGCTGAGGAGCCAGCGGAGATGCGGTCAAGCGTTGTGACTTATTTCCAGTTCCTGGTGTCAGCTGTAGCCCAAATATCCCGTTTCCGTTGATGCTTCCCGA